TCAGGTGGCCATCTTTACTGGTCCAGTTAGTCTAGTGTTCTCTCGCTGTTTGGTTTGACTTTAAATGCCAGTTAGTAGGATTCTGTTTCCACATGCAAAAGTGATTGCTTTTGATAAAAATGCTTTATCTGCCTTCCCAATGAAAATTACACTGAACAAAAATATAAATGCAACATGTAAACATGTTGGTTTCATGAGCTGAAATAAAAGATACCAGGCATTTTCCATTAGCACAAAAAGCTAATTTCTTTCAAATGTTCTACACAAATCTGTTTACATCCCTGTTAGTTAGCATTTCTTCTTTGCCAAGATATTCCATCCACCTGACAGGTGTGGCATATCAAGAAGCTGATTAAACAGCATGATCATTACACAGGTGCACCTTGTGCTGGGGACAAAAGGCCACTCTAGAATGTGCAGTTTTGTCACACAACACAATGCCATAGATGTCTCAAGTTTTGAGGGAGTGTGCAATTGGCATGCTGACTGGAGGAATGTCCACCAGAGCTGTTGCCAGAATTGAATGTTCATTTCTCTACCATAGGCCACCTCCAATGTCGTTTTAGAGAATTTGGCCCATTCCTTAATTTTTTGAAGGTATCTGAAATCCATAGATTAGGGCCTAATGAATTTATTTCAATTGATAGATTTCCTTATATGAACCGTAACTCTGTTAAATCTTTGAAATTGTTGCCTTTATATTTTTGTTCAGTGTAGTTAAAAAAATTAGAACATATGTTATGTTTCTGAATGATGCACCATTCTGCCTTATTGACAACATGCCTAAACGGTGCAGATTACGGTTTGATTTGAGTACGGCGCTCCTCCCTCACCCCTTTTGTCCTTTCACGTCACATGCCATAGACCAGTGCACCGTGGTTCAGCTTAATGGAACTCTCACTGACTCGCCCACCTGTCTACACCTCTCTCCACTAGAAATCCTAGATGGCCTTTTCACTGTATAGGCTGCCTGTGTTTCTTTGGCCTGTTTTTATATTCTTATATTCTATTGTGTTAGAGGAACTAAACTGGACGCATGGCTTTTGCTGGCATGAGCAGTGTAGAATGCCTGTTAGGTGTAGGCTAGGCCTCAATTGACCAAAGATGAAATGGTATGCATTGGGAAGGTGGCACCAACTGCTTTTCAAAGCCAGAAGGAAATTGAGAAGAAAGCTGGCTGACCCATTTTCATGCACAATGCTTATTAGGCTGCTAGGACAGTGCTTTTTTGTTTTGAAGAGTGGTTTGATTTACATGAACAATTATGTAACATTGGATATTTTACTGACCTGAGACATTTTAGACATTGGCTAGATAATACCTGTCATCTTCAATGGGCGTTGTGTTCTCAAAGTACACTATGAAATGGAGAAGAGGATCCAATATCAAAGGGATTTACTGAAGAAACTGGCTGTAAACTAGGACACGCAGGGCCCATGTTCAGTGTCTCAGAGTAGGAGTGCTGATCTAGAATCAGCTTTGCCTTTTTAAATATGCAGGGTCAATTGCATATCTACTAACAGGAGATTACTTGCGCCCGTTGTGTGCTATGAATATAGGGCCAAACTTGCTTGCAACCAAAAACCCAGAAGAATAAACCAACCGATCACTTGATCTCATGTTACCGTGTCAAGAGTCAGATACCAGACAGCTCTGTCTAGGTTCTCCTCGCCTGCCCCCAATTATCTAAAATACTTATTGATTATATTTCCTACAAAACATTTAATCTTTAATGTTAACATAATTAGAATATAATAACTTGAAACTACAATTAAATTAAACAGATTATATATAAACTCAATCACGATTGGCTTGATTTTAGTTAAATTTTAGATGTGGATAAGGGATATTTTCTCCTCTTGATAAGTATTTACCATACTGTATTAAGACAAATTGTTAATGATTACATGATATGGAAAAAGTAATAAAACAAACCTTTTCCAGTCAAAATGTGTAGGGTTAATTGCCACAGGAAATGTGGACATTTTTTGTTTCAGTTGTATGGAATGATTGTCAAATAGGCCTAGTTAAATCTGCTCACTGCACCCACTCTTTTTTCAAAGGTTGAGTTGAGAGGACCTGGCAATTCCATGGGTGGCAAATGGTAGAGGTATGCCCTCAGGTACTGGCACTAGATGAAGACTTGGTCACCTCACCCACATGTATTCTGGGATATTAGAGACCAGTGATGACTAGTGTGGGAAAGACGGGCTAGTTTTGTTTCTTGGATCAAGAAAGTAATCAAGGTAACTGGTGATCATTGATGAGTAATGATGACTGTTGCTATTAGATGAACACTCCTAGACAGGTTCATTACATTTACATTTTAGTCATTTAGCAGACGCTCTTATCCAGAGCGACTTACAGTTAGTGAATACATATATATATATTATTATTATTATTATTATTTAATTTTTTATACTGGCCCCCCGTGGGAATCGAACCCACAACCCTGGCGTTGCAAACGCCATGCTCTATCAACTGAGCTACATCCCCTGCCGGCCATTCCCTCCCCTACCCTGGACGACGCTGGGCCAATTGTGCGCCGCCCATGAGTCTCCCGGTCGCGGCCGGCTGCGACAGAGCCTGGATTCGAACCAGGATCTCTAGTGGCACAGTTAGCACTGCGATGCGGCGCCTTAGACCACTGCGCCACTCAGAAGCCTTCATCATGTCAAATACAGTGCGCTCCAAAAGTATTGGGACAGTGGCACATTTTTGTTGTTTTGGTTCTACTCCAGCACTTTGGATTTGAAATGTGCATGATGTCTAACTTTCTCACTCATCATTATTCACCATTAATTCAGGGTTATCCGTAATCATGGTAGCATCCACATTAAAGAAGCGTTTTTAGAAACGTATTATAATTTACAATAAGTGACTTCAAAATGGCACAATACACTATTTACCATTTCTATTCGGCACAAAATAATCTGAAACGCAACCAAAACAAACAGCAAATGCATCCAACACATTTCTAGAGTCACAATCTTGATGTAGTCGTGTGTGTATATATAGGGCCAAATACTTAACTTTTTAGTGCTTTAATACACGTAAGTGCATTTGTCCCAATACTTTTGGTCCCTTTAAATGGGGGGGGGGGGACTATGTACAAAACGTTCTGTCATTTCTAAATGGTTCACCCGATAATACCCTAAAATTAAAGCTGACATCTGCACTTTAACCTCATAGTCATTGTATCATTTCAAATCCAAAGTGCTGGAGTACAGAGCCAAAACAACAAAACAATCTGCGGTCCCCATACTTCTGGAGCGCTCACTGTATGAACACAGTATACCATTGCAATGTCTGTATACACTTTGCTGCAGTAGCTTCTATCTTGACCTACCTCCTCATCTATCATAATTCAGTGGCCTGGTAAATACTTTGACTCTACGGGGCGACCCCCCCCCCCCCCCCCCTCCCCTCCAGTCATTTTCACCCCCTTTCCTCCTCCTGCTAAGCTTTCCCATCTGGTCTTCCTTGCTTCTCTGACCCACACCAACCTCTCTCCCCCCAGTGTGAAGTCCCAGCTTGCTGTGACTTGCCGATGCCAGTCTGTAGAGGTGGTAGTGAGGAGGCTGGGGTTTGGAATGACAGGGCGCTGTAAGAATATAGGTGTGAACCACAATCCACTATGGTACCATATGATACAGTATGGACTGACCTGTGTTAGGTTATTTTTCAACTGTCATGAATGTAGTTTTGTTGGGCCGGTCCACCATGGTTCACTAGCAGTTCAGTCTATACAGAGACCTTATTGTAACTGTTTTTTTTTTTAAATTGCGCTTCCAAATGAACAACCTCCTTTTTACATCAGAGCAAAAAGCATATTGTGAAACCAGAAACCACACTTGCTAAATCCTTCACAAGGAAAACATATTGCCGTAGAACTGAAGCCTGGGTGTGAGACATGTTCATCTCGTTGGTACTACTATCACAGAAATCCCACTAGGTGGTAACATTCCACCTGGCACCTGCTTTTCTGGTTCCTATAATGATATTTAACCTGGGAGTGTGGCCGTCAACATCCAACCATCCCTGTTCCCACCTTATGCACCTGTGGCTCATCATAGATTAACCTTGTGGATGGAGTGGTGCCCCCTGTTGATCAAATCAAGTATTTCTCAAGAGTGTTATTTTTCTAGAGCAGGGTTGGGGTCAATGAGGCCATTTTAATTCAGTCATGTCAGAAAGGTAATTAAAATTCCCTTTCAGGAATAAGAAGTAGCCATACCGTTTCAGTTAATTGTTTTTTTCAATTCATGTTAAGGTGTCCATAAGAACCGGTTTTGCAACTTTTGATTTTAAATACATATATACATGTTATGTTTGAGGTTTAACTGAAGAGCCATGCTTGGTTGAATCGTGGTAGAGAATCATATTTCCAGCAGTATTACAGTAATGACTTGTAAATAATTTGACTGCGTTAAAGTTTGGACCTCCCCTGTAGTTCACACAGTAACTCAAAGATTAGAAGCTTAACACTAAGCTCTGATTTATTCTATTAGCACTTTGAAGTATGGATGGCTTGGTTTTATTTCTGTACCTCTCCCAGGGTGACACATACACACGTGTGTATCGCATGGTTGTTTTCTCTGATCTACAGTCTAGTGTGTAGAATAGATCCATACAGGAGATCTACAGTCTAGTGTGTAGAATGGATCCTTACAGGAGGCAGCCAGTTCTCTCTGCTGACTTTTTAGTAATTACCCCCGGTCTTGTCTTGACTGGCATTTGTTTTACCTTGATGATTGTGTTGACCTGATGTGTGTTTTAAGAAGCTTCCCCTTTTGCTCCTAACACTCCTCCAACCCTACCTCCATAACTGACATGATGATCATGGTCTCCTTTCTGTCTTTGAAAATGACCTCCTCTGAAGATGAGCCAGGAGCACCAAAAATGGCTTTTTCAGGTAAATGCCACACTGAAAATAACATCACCTCTCCCCCCCCCAGAGCTGAGAGGGCTCCTGGCCAGGTGTCTGCTGAGGCCTCACCATGAGCTGGAGCTTCCTGACGCGTCTCCTGGATGAGATCTCCAACCACAGCACGTTCGTGGGGAAGATCTGGCTGACTGTGCTCATCATCTTCCGCATCGTGCTGACGGCCGTGGGGGGTGAGACTATCTACTACGATGAACAGGCTAAGTTTGTCTGCAACACGCAGCAGCCTGGGTGTGAGAACGTCTGCTACGACGCGTTCGCTCCGCTCTCTCACGTCCGCTTCTGGATCTTCCAGGTGAGACTTAATGGAAAATCAACAACAAAAAATTCCGCAAACATACAGTACCAGTCAAAAGTTTGGACACCCCTACTCATTCAAGGGTTTTTCTTTTTTTTAAAACTATTTCTACATTGTAGCATAATAGTTAAGACATCAAAACTATGAAATAACACACATGGAATCATGTAGTAACCAAAAAAGTGTTAAACAAATCAAAATATATTTGAGATTCTTCAAAGTAGCCACCCTTTGCCTTGATGACAGCTTTGCACACTCTTGGTATTCTAGCTAGCTTCATGAGGTAGTTACCTGGAATGCTTTTCCAACAGTCTTGAAGGAGTTCCCACATGCTGAGCACTTGTTGGCTGCTTTTCCTTCACTCTGCGGTCCAACTCATCCCAAACCATCTCAATTGGGTTGAGGTCGGGTGATTGTGGAGGCCAGGTCATCTGATGCAGCACTCCATCGCTCTCCTTCTTGGCTGGTAACTCTAATGAACTTATCCTCTGCAGCCAAGGTAACTCTAGGTCTTCCTTTCCTGTGGCGGTCTTCATGAGAGCCAGTTTCATCATAGCGCTTGATGGTTTTTGCGACTGCACTTGAAGAAACTTTCAAAGTTCTTGACATTTTCCAGATTGACTGACCTTCATGTCTTAAAGTGATGATGGACTGTCGTTTCTCTTTGCTTATTTGAGCTGTTCTTGCCTTAATATGTACTTGGTATTTTACCAAATAGGGCTATCTTCTGTATACCCCCCCCCCTACCTTGTCACAACACAACTGATTGGCTCAAACACATTAAGAAGGAAAGAAATTCCACAAATTAACTTTTAACAAGGCACAACTGTTAATAGAAATGGATTCCAAATGACTACCTCATTAAGCTGGTTGAGAGAATGCCAAGAGTGTGCAAAGCTGTCAAGGCAAAGGGTGGCTACTTTGAAGAATCTCAAATATAAAATAAATGTTGATTTGTTTAACACATTTTTGATGATTCCATATGTGTTATTTCAAAGTTTTGATGTCTTCACTATTATTCTACAATGTAGAAAATAGTAAAAATAAAGAAAAACCCTTGAATGAGTAGGTGTGTCCAAACTTTTGACTGGTACTGTATGTAAAAGTTCTCAAGTTAGCATGAAGCAACTATAAGGTGTGTAGCCATAACAGATGTGATAAATGGAATGCATAAACTTTTGACACAAACAAACCATTAACTGCATATGCACTCGTGAATTCCCTGTCTAACATCCACTCCTCCCATCTCCTCCTCCTCCAGGTGATCCTGATCACCACCCCTACCATCATGTACTTGGGCTTTGCCATGCACAAGATCGCCCGCATGGAGGATGTTGAGTATCGGCCTCTTCATCGCGCTGGGAAGAAGAGAATGCCCATCGTGAGCCGGGGGGCACAGCGGGACCACGAGGAGGCGGAGGACAACGGAGAGGAGGACCCCATGATCACTGAGGAGATCGAGGTGGAGAAGGACAAAGAGAAATCGACAGAAGGTAGGGTGAGGAAGGAGAGATTCTCCACACACAAACTGACTCATTTCATACCTCTTTTCATTCACACTGGTTATAAAGTTGTCACCAAGGAAATTACTTTATTTAAAACGTTGTGTGGATCATACTCGTCCCTAGTCTTTTCCTTGCCCTGTGACATGCTGTCAGTCAGTTGATTTGTGTCACTGCCTCCTCTTCAGGCTCGGTGAAGAAGCACGACGGTCGGCGGCGGATCGCGCGCGACGGCCTGATGAAGGTGTACGTGTGTTCGCTGATCTCGCGCATCGCCTTCGAGGTGGCCTTCCTGTTAGGCCAGTACGTCCTCTACGGCTTCGAGGTGGCGCCCTCCTACGTGTGCACGCGCTCTCCCTGCCCGCACACGGTGGACTGCTTCGTCTCGCGGCCCACCGAGAAGACCATCTTCCTCCTGGTCATGTACGTAGTCTCTCTCCTCTGCACCACCCTCACCCTCCTGGAGATTTTCCATCTGGGTTTCGGCGGGGTCCGCGACACCCTCCGCGGGCGCGCCAGACGCCACCCCGCCCCACCTCTCCCCCCCGTGGCCCGGGGGTCCCTCTGCAGTTCCCGCCATGTGCCCACGGCCCCGCCAGGGTACCACGCTGCCCTGGGGAAGAAGGACCCGTCAGGCAAGCTGAAGGCAGAGTTCAGAGAGCCGCTGGCGGGGGACTCTGGGAGGGAGAGCCTGGGGGATGAGGCGTCCAGCAGAGACCTGGAGAGACTGAGGAAGCACCTGAAGATGGCCCAGCAGCACCTGGACCTGGCCTACCATAACGAGGAGGGCCAGGGGTCCCTGTCACGGAGCAGCAGCCCAGAGAACAACACCACGGCCGCTGAGCAGAACAGACTCAACTTCGCTCAGGAGAAACAGGCGGCGGCCAGCGAGAAAGGTAAGGAGGAAGGGGGTGAAATAGTATGTCTGCTGAACGGGTCAAACCAATATGACTGAAGGTTTCGAGCTTCATCAGTCCTAGGAAAAAGAGGGACTGAAGAAAAGTATTTTTCAGACATTGTGTTTATTTGAACCTGTTACAGATTCCTTAAGCCATTTTGAATGACTGCCTTACTGTACAGAATGACATTAACCTAGATAGGCCTATAGTACTGTTTGTCTCCATAAAGTAGGAGAGAACCTAGAGATCCCTCTATTTCCTGTCTAACGTGTTGTTGTTCCCTCAGGAGTACATGCCTGAATCCTGCTTAATGCCTGCCTGCTTTCTCTTCCCAACTGGCCCTCCACGGATGGGGAAGCACATGGGAACACAGCCAGACAACTGAGAGCGACTGAAGAGTGTGATTGTGTGAGGGATGGAGTGCCTTGCAATATTACGGGCCAGTGAAATCTTAAATGTAAAGCTGCACAAGCTTCCGTAAAGCTACAGGACAAATCTCCTTTAGCGTCTGACTCGCTCGACTTTAGAGCCTCCAAATACTTTGGTCTCAAGTTTCAGCTTGCCGAAACCCCACACCCTACCTTGGCAGTGCCTGTCGTTGAAGCACAGCCTTCTAGATGTAGTCGACACCCCGTTTCTTTTGCCCAAAGGTGTTTTTGTTTGTCCGTTTTAGTTTGTTTCGCAGTCACTCCGTTCATGTCCATTCCAAAGTGTTCTCCGGTCAGTTTCAGTGTTCTGTCAGGGGAATCTGTCTCATACAGTGTAAGCTTTAATTTACCCCCCTTCGTCTCTATTGACAAAGTTTACTAGTCGGTCCAATTTAAGAGCGAGGCTCAACACGGTCTTAAAAGCATTTACTGCACATGTTGTTAAGCCAGGGCTTGTTGTCGCTGGAAACAGAGTGAACCGCAATGAACACTTGCCTGAGGGATGTATTTCTGCACAGACATTAAGAGGATGTGTGTACATGTATGTGTGTTGCATACAAGGTGGTGGGAGGTTTTCCAAAAGTGCAGTTCTTCAACGAAACCTTAACTTAATCTTGGACATAAACTGTACAGCTTTTGTCAGAGGTTTATGTGACTAGTTAATAATTGTTTTGACATTCCGTGAGACTCCTCATTGTTAAAGCCTTGTATATTAGTAATTCCAACAAATTGGCCAAATGTGATAAATACCTGGGAAATGCTTGAATCATGTGATGACTAGAAATGTTCTTGCTGTTAAAACACTCATATAATCTGTAGTCCTCTTGTACCTGTCATGCCTCTCCTGTCCTGGTTCCTTTTGTTCATGCTAGCTAGTTGGTGAGTTATTTTTTTATGTTTGTGCTGGAATTCTAAGGAGGCAAATGCCCCATGATTTGCCTATCTGTTGTCATAATGTGATGGTACTTTGAAATGGTTGAGTTGAAAACTGGAAACGATTGTGTCATATGCTGTGTTCATTTCATTTTTCCTTTAGTTTTTTATTCGGTACAGAAATAACACTCCAATTATATTTTTTTTCAATATTTGGTGGAGCGTTGTTGCAAGTTTTGTAGTTTTTGTAACTGTAGAGTTTCATAGAAATACATGAATAAATATATTTGAACAGAATGATTTTGCAATGTCTTTATTTGGAATGATTACTTCACTGTTGACCTCTGTCTATACTTCACTTCTTCTAAAATGCCTTAATCTGAGTCTGCATTGCCCTCTTGTGGCAAGAAGGAAGAACACACTGCACATTCATTTCAATGTATTGTGTAGCTGTATCAATAACAAACTTTATTTTGCTCTAGTCTTGGCGCATGACAAACGTAGGCCTATCAGTTATAAGTCTAGCCTAGGTGTCGAGTTCTCCAAAGACACTTTAAAAATAAAAAGGTCAAAGTTGCCCTGGCCTAGACCACCAGCATAACAATGAATCTTACTTGGAAAAACTGAGCCCATCTGAGGTTTTAGGCCTAGATACAGGTGCACTCCTCTGGTATGATGTTGGGCAGGGTCTCGTATTTAAAGGAGTACCCCCCGTCAGACGTAGTGGTGAACCGTAGTGACTTCATGGTCCCGGGGACCGGAGCGCAGCACTGTTTGATCCCCAGCATAGCAGTGGTGCGGTCCAAAGCCGAACAGGTTCCCATGACAGTAGTAGAAGTTGAGAAACTTTGGGTGAACGATCCAGTTGTCCCAGCCCAGCTCCTGGAACGAGATGTTGATCTCCTCCCGCTGACAGTCGCTGTACTCAGGCTTCTCCTGCGATGGCCGCATCAGGAGGTCGATGGCCGACGGGGACCAGGGGATGGTGGCGGCTGCTCGCCGTGGGGAGCGGTCTGGGCCGTGAAGTCGGGCATGCAGGTGGAGGAATGGCATTTTGTCGGCTTCGTTCGCGTGGCATTCGCAGGCGGGGCAGCGCACCTGGAGCGCGAAGGGGCCTTGGGTCAGGGCGGTGAGGAGGTGGCGCTCGAGGCGGTAGGTGGTCCAGCCATCAGCGGTGGTCTTGGCCGGAGACTCTGCCACCTGGAGGAGCTGTTGGTCTGACGTGAGGATGTAGAGCGGGGTGGTGTTCCTGCTGGCCCCCTCGCCGGCGTAGAACCAGAAATTGGCCGAGGTGATGGCGGACTCTTGGTTGTTTAGGGAGGATTGGAAGTAGTAGGTGAAGTGTCTGGTGGCTCTCTCCTCTGATGGAGAGTCTGAGCTATGACAGGTAGAGTCTGGGAAAAACAAAGCAGACAGTGGAAAAAAGGTCAGGTCAATAGATGGGGAAATGGGTGAAACAAAGAACCTACACTTGTCATTTGTTGAGGTCTGGAAAAACATCTGACAAACTTCACTTTTGGAGTGAGCTAGTGAGATTGACTAAAGAGAAGGGAAAAGGAACATGGCGTCAGAGCGTGAGAAAAGGAGAAAGAATGATAGACCCTCTTACTCACCAGAGCTGGGGAAGAGGATGACTTGCTCTTGGCTCTCCTGGTGATGCCTCCTGTGGTCCTGGGCCCAGGCTGCCCTCCCTACCCTGGTGGATCTCCGGTGACCTCGCACCACCTCTGTTCTCTCTCTGCCCCCGTCATGGGCCTGGAGGCTGGGCTCAGGGGGCTGCTCCATCCCTAACCCATCCAGGAGGCGCTGTTTCAACCAGTCCAGCACCACCTCACGAGGCAGCTCGTCCCCCTGGCAGGCCTGGGTCCGGGTCTGGCTCCACAGGAGCAGCAGGACACATGAGAGGACAGTAGAAGGACCACTCCACATGGTTCAGATCTATTCAGTCTATAGAGGAGGGTCGTGAAGCATGTAGATCAAGGTGGGAAAATGCTTTGAGTTTGAGTAATCCAAGTAGGTAAATTGACCAAACGGGTCAATTGATTGTGCCAAAAAATTATAGTAGGTGAAGTAGTGTAGATCCTTCTCTGTCCTGAGCCGGTTAACAGAGCAAATGAAGTCAATGAAGTCCTGTATTACATGGAGGTTCCGTCTCTGCCAACGCTGAGCACTGTGGGTCTTTCCTTTGTTTTCTCATGGACTAATATTGGCCCCCTCCCTCCTACCCAGGCCTATCTAGACATTGGAGAAAAAGGGAGTGTGAGAGAGCCCTATGTTATTGTTATGCAGTCATAGTCCAGAGGAAAGACGGCAGAGTATGACCTTGTGGGTGATTTGAAGTTGCAATGTATTTGATCGCAGTCTGCGTTCCACGGTGAGGGCTACTTTGTTCTTGTACTGTACTAGATTTGTCTGTTTTGTTAAGTGGACTGAAGCAACACTTTGAAACCCTTTCTGAGGTATTTTTCCTTAGTGTCAAGGTTTTCTTTAATACGCATAGTGTGTGTATTTAATGTAGGAGGTGTGATGAGATTTCAGCAGCGGAGTAGTATTAGACAAAATACCAGGGCCTGATAAGACAGGATTGAAAGAGGTGCTGTCTGAAATGGAATGGCTTACATGCTCTATAAGTGCAGAAAATGTGGTTGTCTCACCTAGCTATCTTAAGACGAATGCACTGTAAGTCACTCTGGATAGGAGCGTCTGCTGAATGACTCAAATGTAAACAGATATTGGGGTCAGTTGTTATTGAAAATTAACCACAGCTTGAACGAATGTGTTATAACTGTTTATATAAACTACTCATAAACCCTTTGCAACCCCCTTAGAGGATACTAAGTGTTACGAATAGATCACAACACTAATCACACGTGAACTCACAGTGTTGCTATAGTCCTTTCATAAAGCTCGTCTGTAAAAGAGACCTTGGTCTCAGTATGACTCCCTGATAAAATAAAGGTTCAATATTATTTATTTTTCATCATAATGAACCTAACAGATGTGGATGTCCCTCATCATAGCACCTGCTTTCCCACCAAACAATAAATGTGTGCGTTAATCTGTCTTTATCCGACTCCGGCCTTGAGGCTCTGCCTGCCTGTGTCTGGGCAATAGAATACAGTTTCAGAGAGAAGGTCAGATACTACAACTTGTCTCAGTGGGGCATAAATAAACCAGACCAAGTTGTCCATGACTCTAATGCCTCATAACGTGCGTGTTTGTCGATATCTTGTGAGGTGTAACTAGGCACTCTGAGACCGTATTGCCGTGATTCCTGAAGGTTCATGTTTTATAGTTGCTACCCAACTCAAACCTTTCATGTTGTCACGTGAGCCACCAAATAACTAAATCTACATTCCACCACAACCCATTCCTGACCTGTGACCTAAGACGAACTAGATACGACCATCATTTGGAAAACACATTGTTTCAACTATGTTGACAATATAAGTAGGTTATATTTATGTCGCAAGATCAGTAGGCTACGATAACCTCGGAAGCACACAATCGTTCTCTTGCAAACAAATCCTTTTCTCTCGACAGAGGAAGTTAAGTCTAGCCCCAGGTCGTGCTGGCCAACCCCGAAAGTGATACTGGCCATGTCAGACGGGCAGTCTTCTGCGTGACTCACCAACTCTCTGACAGATTATCTGTACCATTGTCAGCTCGCTCATGTGACTGGAGTGGAGTCATGGAGCCACACGTCTCTAGTCAGGCACGGGGAACTAATTCATAGACCGCAGCCAGGGTGCATATCTTTACATATCTCATAGCTACTGTAGTTCCCATGCTGCTGTTCTCATCACCACCGACTGTCCTGTATTATTGTCACATGATGCATTGAAATCCCAACATGACTCTCAAGAACATTTAAAGAGGACACGTCATCTAGGATAGAAGGTAGGAAGCAAGTTTTTGTTTGGAATCCACCTAATGTTTTCTGTTTGTGGGGCTGTTTTAAGGGCTCTTGCAGTACAACAAGATGGCCAGAAGATGGCCTGAACTCACCAGTCGTCCATTAGTTTACCACAGCTGGGGCTCAGTTGCATGAGGGAGTTCTGTTCATAGTCAGGAGTGTTTGCAAATTGCAAGGCTTTCATTATTCTGCCAAAACCTCCGCCCAACCTCAGTGTTATCTGAACACTCCCATGAGAGACTGATGTGTCTAGGACGTTGAGAGAGAGAGTGTACAAAACATTAAGGACACCTTCCTAATAAGGACACCTTCCTAATATTGAGTTGCACCCCCCCCCCCCCCCCCCCCCTTTGCCTCTAATGCTTTTCACAGTTGTGTCAAGTTGGCTGGATGTCCTTTGGGTGGTGAACCATTCTTGATACACAGGGAAACTGTTGAGCGTGAAAAACCCAGCAGTGTTGCAGTTCTTGACACAAACCGGTGTGCCTGGCATCTACTGCCATACCCCGTTCAAAGGCACTTAAAATTTTGTCTTACCCAGTAACCCTCTGAATGGCACCCATACACAATCCAATCCATGTCTCAAATGTCTCAAGGCTTAAAAATCCTTCTTTAACCCGCCTCCTCCACTTCATCTACACGGATTGAAGTAGATTCACCTGGCCAGTCTATGTCATGGAAAAAGCAGGGGTCCTTAATGTTTTGTATACTCAGTGTATATAGAGAGAGAGAGCACAGGAGGTTGGTGGCACCTGAATTGGGGAGGACGGAATGGTTTCCATGGTTTCCATGTGTTTGATGCCATTCCATTGGCTCTGTTCCAGACATTATTATGAGCTGTCTTCCCCTCAGCAGCCTCCACTGATATAGAGATGTAGTAGTAGTAGTAGTAGTAGTAGTAGTAGATAGTGAATACAAACACTATCCTCAGGAGTAATGCAAAAATGTTTATTTAAAATAAAATTGCAAAAGTCCTAAATTTAACACTCATTCTTCTCAGTGGGTGACATTGCATATGTGTGCATGAATAGATGGGTGGGTGCAAACACACAGGAGTGAATGACAGTGTCAGAGACAATAGCTCCCTGCTCTGTCTGGCTGGTGGAGCGTTTGGTTGGTGGTGAAATGAGGTCTCCATCTCGTCGTTCACTCTGGCTGGCTGCTCTTTTGTGCTCCCTGCTGCCAGACGCCTCATCTGACCTACCAGTAGTCATGGCGGGCACAGCAGGCCTCTTCTCCCTCTTTCTCTGTCGCTTCTTCTTCGGTGGGAGGGTATCCGAGTCCTTGAAAGCTCTGATCCTCATGACCCATTTGGGCTTCTTGGGCTTTGGGGTCACTGCCTGACTGGCACTGTCGCCCAGCTGCTGCACAGCACTCTGGGATGGGCCTGGGCTCTGTGAGGCCTGCTGGGGCAGCTCAGGGCATGGCATAGCATTCTGAGAGGAGTCTGGACTACCAACCTTCCTCGGGATCATTCTGTTGACAGTACAGAGTTGTTTGCGTACAGAAACAGGATGGACTCCCAGAGGACTTGAGCCTTTTTGGGTTTTGAAGGGCGGCGTAAGTCAGCAGTTTTAGCACTTTCAGAGGCTTTGACTTGACTTTGGAGGCTTTAGATGGAGCTGTGGCTGGGTTGTTTTCCCTGGAGACCAACGACTTGAAATGTTGGAGACTTGAACTGTCACTATGTAGACTGAGGTTGAATGCTATCCATACCTGAAAAGTGGGGAAAGAGTGTTTTGACTTTACAAGCAGTTGAATTTGCATTCAAAAAATGTCCAATGCCCAGATCAGTCCATTTTAACAGTAAAATGTTCAATACAAAAATAATTTACAAAATCAAGCAGCCTAAGAGACACTCAGTTATCCATATTATCCCTAGATATTAACATTTGATTCAACGTTTTGAATGATGTTGGAGGTTTGCCGATTTAAAGCAGCTATTCCAGCTTTCGTCCATAAGCAAACTAAAACGTTTTAGTTCCAAATCTAAGTTTGTTGGCGCGTTTATTACGAACGAAACGTCGGAATGAAGGAGCGCATGGAGGAGCGTCCATTTCCATAGTAGCGCGCACCTTATTTATTGTCATAAATAAACAATTGTTTTATACGAAAATATACAATAAATGTAGGACAGGTACTGGACTACTGTTACAGTATAGTTTATACAAAGGTATCTTTAGCGAAGTTCAGACAGTAAATGAAATAATGTTTAGGCAATAAAATTAGAGGATACATGTTTGCGCACGTTTTGACTTTGGTCCAACCGCTTCAACCGGCAAAGTTAATGGCCTACATATTGTTAAACCTCCGCAAAACCCTACTTTCATAAAAGACATAGTTCAAAACCTAAAAAATGTTTTACCCAACTGTTGGCCAGTTAGCAGTCTGTCCAAGTTCGTGTGATTGATGGATAAACTCTGTTGCCATGCGACTTTTGCATCTATTGTCTGAAAATAAACACCAGATGCGCTCCCATCATCACCGCAGGTGCACCCTAAATGGCGAGTTCAAATAATAATCGGAACTGGCGATCTTTTATCAATATGATAACTTTGTAACCTCTTAACAAAGTGTTGGATGCACATAATTCAACATGAAAAATAATTTCCCAACACTGCACGTTGGTGTGCAGACTATAATTGGTAAACTAGACAGACAGACAGACAGACACTGTATTGTTTATTAGCAAGACGTCTCTTTGTACCCATCACCATTTGGTTCATGCTCTGCTTATGAGGCCTATACCAGAGGATGGTCTTTGCCCATGTCAGAGAGATGTACTCTCTAAATATATGGCTCTGCTCCAAGTCCATGGCCCTATATAGTCTGTTTCCATGGTGACCAGACAGACAGGAGCAATAGATGGGGTTTATTCATCCCATACCAGCACACAGGGTTCTCTTCCTACTCCTGTGACTCAGAGTTAGTCATGATGACAAGCTGTCAATGACCTATGGAGTTATAAATGAGTAATGAATAATCTGATGTAAGGCAACCAGAATTTAATTCC